GCTCAGCACGCCGGAGACAATACCTGTTGTTGCAAGCCCCCGTGATGAGCCGGTACTTGTTTGCCAGGCAGGTGTCTGGGCATTTGGGGGGCAGCATGTGAGGCAGGCACCCGGACGCCTCCGCAATGGTGGTCAGGAGGTCTTCTGATAAGGCATCTGCGGAGAACACCAAGGCGCAGGCTCTGGGACACTGCCTGCTCAGGCCCCTCCTGGCCGCGGCCTCTGAGTCTGGGGGTCCCACGTGCCCGCGCCCCTCTGTGTGGGAGGCCTTTCCTCCTCCTTTAACTCCAGCACCCCCACCCCTGGTGCGTCCTCATCACTAAGAATTTGGGTTTGTCAATCCATTTCGCATTGTGATCTTTCAGAAAAGCAGTTAGAGAGCTCTGTGCCCAGGTGAGCCAGTGCTCAGGGTGATGGCCCATCTCCTGTCACTTGTCACAGTCACTGCCTCAGCAGTGTGTCCAGCCCTGGCCTGACGCTTCAGAGGACAGCGGGCACCCACACTGTCCCTCCCCCGCCAATGAAACCTGCCTCCGTCAGGTCTGCTGACAGTGTCCATGTGCCCACCTACAAATCCCTTCTTTCCTTTGTATTGATTTTTGGTTTCCTTCTTGTAAATATTTCTAGATTAGGCTCCAGAAAACAGTCTTTTATTTTTGCCAATTCTTTCACTTTTTATTCAACAAATCAATTATTGAGTTAGTTCTCCAGATTCAATTTGAATGGCAGAGTAACAAGGAATTCTCAAACTAACAAACACAAAGCATGTGAGTGTTCACCAGCATTTTAAGAACTGTGGCTTCTGTCCCTTGAGTGAGCGGGAAAATCACACCTTCGTGGTGACAGGTAAGAAACGGCTGTCCACAAAACGCCTGCCGGCCCCGGCCAGGTCAGCTGGTGGACCCAAGGGGGCCGCCCGGGAGGATGGGGCACCCCCGGCGCGCTTACCTGTGAGAGGCTGCGACTGCTCCAGGCGCAGGGGGACTCTTCTCTGCATCGCCCGCACTGACACTTCCATTATCTCTGCTGCGCGTGCGACAGCTCGGCTCGTTGGCTCAGGGAGTTTGGAAAAAGACAGAAGCTGAGATGGAGAAATGAGTTCTCTTTTCTCGAGATTTCTACGGCACAAGGAGGACATACAAAATCAATTATTCTTCTCCGACTGTTCTGGTAGCGAATTACTAATCAATTAAGCAGACCGTAACTGAGCAGCTGCCAGGTCCCAGACCCCGTGAGAGGACAGAGCTCGCACAGGTCCCACCACACGGGCCGCAGGACTTAGTAAAGGGAGAGAACGTAAGTACAGGTGACCGACCAATGTTGAGTGAGGAACGGACTGGCCAATATTTACAAATGTCCACACCGGAAGTCATTCGATTCCGATGACAATTGTGTAAGATAAACCTTCTCATGAAAATCCAGTTAGACTTTGGGTCTGGGCCGGTGACCTGGGGGCTCCGAGCCACAGCCCTGTCGTGGCCTCAGAGCTGACACGTGTGGGGGCGCAGACGTCAGGAGGCTCCTGTGGACGCGCAGCCACGACCATGGGGGTCACGTGACTGGTGACAGAGCTGGACCTCACGCCTCACGTTCGCACACACGCCGAAGGAAGCATGAGTTCATGAGAAAGTTTTTCTTACTCTTTCTCAAGTTTTTAGAAAATAAGTAAAAATGAATTTGCAGCCAGTATGGACAACAGAATTTTTTCTGATTGGAAAAATAGAAATTTGAAAAGAAACAACTTCTGCCCTGTGATTTTGGTAACTTGAGCGCATATGTAATTATTAGTTAATGTCCAACCAAATAATGAGCTTGTGAGGATAAAACCTGCTTCTCAGTTTCGTGTTTGTTTTGTTTTCAAAGTTCTAACATGACACTGTAATATTCATGTCAGTTACATATTTAAAATTAAAGCATTTCTTAATTATTGAAAAGATAATGATGGGCAGATTTAATGCTCCACCACATGCCCCGGACGATGTCACAGCTGTAGCTCAGTGGCCTGGGAGATGTCACAGCTGTACCTCATTGGCCCAGGAGATGTCACAGCTGTAGCTCATTGGCCCGGGCGATGTCACAGCTGTACCTCAGTGACCCAGGCGATGTCAGAGCTGTACCTCAGTGGCCTGCACCACCCTTTGCTCTTAGTCTCTGCCTGTTTACAGGGAGCAGCCCGCTCACCTGTCTGGACTTCAGTCTCTCTCGCCTTTGCACCCAGTAGAGCCAACCCCAGGTGGGTCACTGTCCTTTGCTCTGTGTTTTACTAGTGAAAGACTGAGGCTGGTGGTGGTTTGCCCCGTTGCATGCATACGACCTTGAAACAGTCAATTAACCCCTGTGAGCTTCAGGTCCTAATTGGTAAAGCAGAGACGCTGAGAACAATTTCAGAGGTCATTGTAAAAGACACAGTAGGTGTGCCAAGGCTCACGCAGGACTTGGCGCGCACTGGGTGACGTCCCTCCAGTCCCCTCCCTCTGTGCCCTCTGGGACACGGCACCTTTTCATTGTGCTGTGGATGGCGTCATCCACCAGCAGCTTGCTGTCCTCCAAAACGCGGATCACATGCGAGTCGTCGGACGTTCCTGTGGAGGAAGCATCACATATCAGCGCAAAACGGACGTCCGGCGATTCTGTCGCCTTAGCGCTCTCCACGGGGTCCAGCTTGATGAACGAAACCACACGGCTGGCCGCTGGGGCCAGTTAGGTCGTGGGGCCTGTGAACCCCGATGTCCCATCGCAAAGCGGTGCTCGTCCCCTGGCAGAGCTGCGTGGGGGGATGGGGGGTGGGACGAGCACCCGCCGTTCTCACCTCATGCAAGTTCAGTTTGGCTTCTCCTTTCCCTCTCACTGCCCACACCGCCTCTAGTGACTCCAAGGAGCTTTTTTTCTGACACGTGGTCTCATGTTTGTCTCCCCAAATCCACATGTTGAAACGCTAGTGCCCTATTTGGTGGTGTCAGGAGGTGAGGAAGTTGGGAGGTCATTAGGCCACGTGGATGGGCCCTCGTGATGGGACTGGTGCCCTTGTGACCGAGACCCCGGGACCCTCACCCTCCCTGACGTCTGTGCACCAGGGAGGGGGCCACTCCAGACTCCGGCCCCGCGGGGGCCTGGCCTTGGACATCCAGCCTCAGACGGTGGGGAGCGGACGTTGGCTGCTTACGAGCCCCGTGTGGCCCGAACAAGTTCAGCACCAAGATTCCTTTTCTAGGTGAAAAGGTCAAGTCCACACGAATAACACAAGAAGGCCAGGCTCCTGGTGACACACAGGTGACGCCCATCACTCAACTGTCTTCTGCATAATCAACAATTTATCAAGAGAAACACACTCATTCCTGAAATTAAACACACTATCAGAATGCTCTCAAATATTACACATCTCGTAAAACTTTTTTTAAAAGGTACCTTTCAATATCTTTAGAATTAAGTGGGCATCACGGTTCCGGAAAGTATATTATATTCCTGAGGAATTCAGCAGGATTAACAGACTACTAGCCTCTGTCCTAAAACTTAACTGATTACCTCCTTTCAAAAGAAATACTGTGACTCAAAACTACTAGAAAAGTACGAGACTGCAAGTTCCCGGAAGGTGCGACCGTATCAGACTCCCCTTATCCCCCTACCCCCAGCCCAGGATGGAGATCCCGTCGAAGGCCCCTCGAAGGGTGTCCAGCCGTTGCCCTTGAGCGTCTCCCCCGCAGCCAAGCCAGGAGCACCCCCATGATTCTGTCATCGTTCCTACTTACTTCCACCCCAGCCCATCTGCCCCAAGACTCCTGCATCTCGGTATCACCTGTGTCAGTGTCACCAGCGTGTCAGTGACACCTGCATCTCAGTGACACCAGCGTGTCAGTGACACCTGCATCTCAGTGACACCCGCGTC